ACATTGACTCTCTGCCATGTTGAACAAACAGTACAACTATGTCACTGATTAATTACTATTGTTTATATTTATGACAGATGACCTTGGCCTTGATCAAGAGATGAAAATCAGGACCCATTCGCCGACCCCTTGCATATAGGAATATGCAAATAACCATTAGCGACGTCACGTGTGTCTGCAACGCACGTGCATCTAAAGCATTGTTACAACAATCAAATCGGGCTTTCCTCTCACAATAAGTTAATACGCCATGATATAACTGAAATAATTCTCAAGGCGGCGTCAAACCCAACAAAATATAACTTACTATGTTCAGTTAACAAGGTGTTGAAGTGTTCTTGTTCTTCCTCAAAATTAATGGGGTTTTTTGTAACCTCATTTTGAAGATGTGCTGAGTAAGTTGGCGACTGACATTGATTCATTTCCAAATTTCAAATATTCAGGAACCTCAGGATAGGGAATGCAATCACATTAAATAGTAAAACATATTCACAAACACATTTCCGTAAGCACCTACGACCACACCATGGCAAATACAGCTATTTCTCCCCTGCAGCGTGTAGTCGCACGGTATAACCCTTGTCTGTTTGTTTGTCTGTTTATTTGTTGTTTTAAGCCGCACTCAGCAATATTCCAGCTATATGACGGCGGTCTGTAAATAATCGAGTCTGGACCAGACAATCCAGTGATTGACATAAGATGAGGTGAAATTGGGTTTAACGTCGCGACCAAGACTATTGCACTTATATAGCGACGTGCATGCACGTGTGTGTGTGACTGCTTGTACTAGTCCGGACTGATGCCGATTTATAGTGCTAGCTCGCTGAGATACTATGCGGCAGTTAAACATGAATACCCCACTCAGACACAGTATACTGACTCCGAGCCGACCAGTCCTTGTTTTAGCCCTTAATGCCGTGTCTAATAAAAAGCAAGTACCATCTTTTAACGTCTTCTTGGTATGACGCGGCCGGGGATCGAACCCCGGACCTTCTGCTCTCCGGGCGGACGCTCTGCCACAAGACCACGGAGGCGGTTGATTGACATCATGAGCATCAATCCACGCAATTGGGATACGATGACATGCATCAACCAAGTCAGCGAGCCTAACCATCCAATCCTGTTAGTCGCCTCTTACGACCAGCATAGTCGCCTGTTACAGCAAGCATGGTTTGCTGAAGACCTATTCCACCCCGGATCTTCACGGGTCGCATAACACTTACATGATTAGAGGCAAAAAAGGAAGATGTTACGATAAAAAAAATTCCAAAATGAAATTTCAACAGGTAAGCGTACAGTATCATGCAATCCGTGCCTAAATCTATAATGTCTAACATATTCATTAGTTAGGAATAATACCCCTTTATCCTTCACTCTGCAAATATATCAGATTCTCATTTCGTGATAAATTGTTTTAAAGTCAAAACTATTCATCGATGAGCTAATGTCCTTTCGGTTGCCTTTTCACGACGATATGCTTCACAAAACCATATGAGTTACACAATAACGGTTCGTCTAGCGTCTAGGCAACAATGTCTTGCACAAGCACTTGAGGATCAAGCATATCAGTGTCACATCAGTTGAAAATGGGGACTTAGTAATGGATAACTGCGCCCCCTACAGAGTGAGAATTAAAGGATTAAACAGTTTACTATATATCCAGCTTGTTACTTGATCTCACATAGATCTTTATATTATACTTAGTCCGTTTCAAGTCATAACCTTTAATGGCAAAGCATGCATGTGCATATGTAATTTTTCACGAAAAATGCTCTGGGTTTGGTGTCGTATAATCACAGTGCTTCATACTGATAGTTTGATTAAAACGACACTAGTTGGGTTCGTGTCTCATAATTAGGCCCATGTACTGCTTTGTGCGTACTAAACATAAGGCTCTATTGTATTTCAGAAGTAAACATGACACGATTTTGGTCTCTTTTTATATATACTTACAGACAAAAAAAACTGAGAGAACTGATTAAATGATAGTTAAGGTGCAATGACCATACACGTCTGTGAAATTAGTTTCTGACGTGTAGATCAATATCTGGTGTGTCCCCCATGTTTTACGATACATGTTTGGGACGACACCTTGTTGGCATACTGTTAATTAAGCTGCGTATGACTGCCCTTGGTATTGCCCGCCATTCTACCTGAAGTTCTACCCCAAGCTTGGTCACGTTGGTGGCTGCTGGGCTTCTGACGTACACTCTCCACCCGGGAACATCCAACAGGTGTTCTTTTGGGGGCATGTCAGGGACTCTGTGGGCCTGTCCAATGTCTTCTCGTCGGAGACAATCGGTGACGACCTGGGCCGATAAGCGAACAGAACAACGACAGGACGCAAAAATTCGTCAATATGTCGCTGGCCAGTCAAAAATGTCCATTTACAATAACCAAATCAGATATCCTGTCATGTGTGATACCGCCCCATCCCCATGGCATTACCGCCCCCATACCGATCTAGGTCAAGGCCTGGCATACCATTCGCCGCTACGTCGCCAACAACGTTTTCTGCCATCTGTGAATCGGAGGCAAACCCTTTTACTGATTTGTCAGTACATATGGTGTAACTTCATTGGCGCACGGCTCATCTCTGGTGTTGCCTGGCCTACCCCAGTCTTTGCCGGCTGTGGTAAGCTGTTAGGGTCATATCCTGAATAAATCCGGTATTTGGGGGTAGATGTTGAAATTCTAGTTATTGTACGGAACAGTCTGTCAGAAGCAGATTGTACATACTGTTCACCGAACCAACCACGGGAACATAATTATGGTACAAATCAAAATAGTGAATTCCATGGACATAATCCTTATCACTGACGGGTCTAATTTGGACTTAGCCAATCCAATGAGAAGTTCCGATTCACATGCATAAAGAAACAGTTCACCACGAATTGGCGCTCCTTTAGATTCCTACTTCTTGCCCAAATGTCTTTTCCCCAAATTTAACATAGATGTTATCAATGAGGAAGTCCAGCATTTCACATATTGTTTCCTTTGTAAACTTCGGATGACATTTGCTTTCATTTTTTACAAATTCTCCCGAAACACCAAATAGAAGGATTAAACTATATCTATGGTCACCAAGTTTAGAAACCAATGACCCGTGGATAAAAGAAAGAGTTTTCTCTTAAGTTTGTGGTGCGGGATAGTGGTGTACACAATTGAAAACTCAAATGTTTTGACAGAATTCTGACATTGCGAAAATGAAAGCAAATTCTTTGAGGTTCTGCGAATCCACATAATATTAATTCCACTTGTCTCAAATACTTTCGGTGAATATAAAGTCCTTCCTTGATGGTATTAAGGATTATGGTTAATCTTTGAGACAGGGATTTGGTAGTAGATTAGCTTGACCGATTCGGTTTTTGTCTGGCTTTAGTGAGTGAGAGAGTTGGGTTTAACGCCGCTTTAACATTATTCCAGTTATATCGCGGCGTGTCAGCTTAATGTGGGAGGAAAGCCCGAAATGATGCAGGTCTCAGACGCGTACCACTTCGCTGAAACCCACGAGCACGGGTATGGTGCCTGGCTTTAGAATCCAGTACATGAGAGGAATGGACAGTGTCTTCAGGTTTTAGAGTCAAGATCAAAAGTTGATATTATTGATGCATGGTTTGGGCAGATTTCATCCTCCGTTGCCATACTGGACCTATATGTGGCATAATGTGATATGTAACTTACACCAAGCTCCTAATCAAATAATTAATGTAGTGACGCTTACACGTAATGGTCATGGCATTTGAAGCCTTGTAAGTGACAACTACAACCCTTTCGTGTTTGGCAGGCAGAATTTCGATGACAGTTGGCTGGAACAGAATGGGTTTATTCCAGTTGTGTTAACTTTTCGTCAGTGTGTGCATTCTACCAATGATAATGTCATGCACTGATTTAACCTATTCTGAAAATTCTGAAAGGCATTCAGGAGATTCCTGTTCTCATTTTGCCATCTGTTTGGATATGCTTCTACAGCATTCATAGTTATGTTAGCTGGAGGCTGCTATTTTGATCAATATTTGAATAAAAGGCGAATGCTGTTGTTTTCAACTTTTGAGAAGTCACCCGTCATTATATGACCAACAGGTTGGTTGAACTATGATGACAACTGGCAGCGGGGGCACGGGTGGCCCAGTCGTCTCAGGCGCCGCGATTCGCTGTGCAGAGTTGCGTCCCTTGGGTACGCCAGAAACCTATGATTGTTGGTTCGAATCCCGGTTCGTCCCGATTATGTTTCTAGGTTTGTCAGCACCATACCCGTGCTCGTGGGTTTCACCGAAGTGGTAAACGTCTGAGACCTGCATCACTTTGGGCTTTCCTCCCACATTAAGCTGACGCGCAATGATATAACTGGAATACTGTTAAAAACTCACTCCCTACTACTTGCAGCCACAAGTAGTGGAATTTACTTCATAAGCTGCCAACTCCACGTTCTGCTACACATTGAAGTCATTGAGTGACGTTACGTCCAGCACCGTGTCACTCACACCACGTTTAACATCTTTTATACGTCTCTTCTGTCATGTCTGGATTAAGGTTAATGTAAATCTTGGAAGTAATGCGTCTTCAAATTAATGCGACTCGATTTCAATGTTTTGATTTTTCAATCATATAAATAGTGTCTAGAAGTCGCAGCATGTGCGTCGTGTCCATATCAATTATACAAAAGTACACATAATGCCAACAACAAACTTAAGCTGAATATTAACCTATCAGACCACCCATCGATGTATTAAATAAAAACATATCCAAGTAAATGTTGTCATATAAAGAAGGCACACAAGGTGTGTCTTACATGTCAGACATATTTCACTTTAGCTGAAATGGGCCATTATCTTTAAGGCTCAACTGATCAAATGAGTAACTCGATATATACTTGGGACCCGTGGCCCCTCACCGCTGTGACAGTTGGTAGAAGTATAAAGTCTTCGTCGTCCTCTACTTCAACCTCATGCGCTGGGATACCTATTGCAGTTTGAGTGACAGCTGTATACACGTCACTGGTCTTTGAGCCGAAGTATGAGCTGTGTCGATATCACAATGCGCTTGGACTTTCGCTTCGATTGAAAAAAGTGAACACTCAGTGAACAGAGAGGAAACAAAACAGGTAAGTTATTACTTAATTTGATTTATGTTCTTCATGTTTGTCATCTTGTTTCGTGACATGTTTTACTTTAAAAAAATTAACAAATAGCCTGATACTAATATTGCGTTACGACGAATATGTGAGACATAAAGAAGCAATAATGTATATATATTATTTATTATAAATGTAACCATATACTAGTACATATGTTGTCATACACCAGGTAGTTATGTTTATATTAAAACTGACGTCAATAGATGCATCTTGGAAACAAATGTGGGTATAATATAAATATACAAACAATTACTTCTATCCTACTCTTTCCGCAGCGACGAGAAACACCTCTTTGAACGATAAACAACAACTGATGTCCTCATACATACATTGTAGGTCCTCAGAACCAGTATACCATTAGTAGAAACAAAGGTATAAGCATAACTAGAGTGATTATTCATTTGTATTTAAGCTGTCTTAAGTGTGTGTTACGGGCAGAGACGTGACCATGTCGCTCGTTGTGCATAGTATGCCACGATCAAAGGTATCACCAGGCATGTCATATTGGGGCATCCGTGTGTGTCGCTTGTTACATACGACCAGTCTACGTACATTAAAACTTTAATGCTCACGTTTGTGATACAATCATAAACAAATCTGGTTTTATGTGTTGGAAATCGTGTTATACTTTTTGAAAATGCCATATTAAAGTGTAAACTGTTTATTTAGAAAATGGGAGTTTTATCCGTTGGTATGGGCGTCCATATATTGAAATAATCTCATCTCATACAAGAGCACAGATTCATCGTCTTCGTAAAATGGATTTGTTTTACACAAACAAAACATTATACACGGATATACCTATAGCGACATCCCGTGCTATTTACAAAGGTCTCTCCTTCCAGTAGACAAGTGACAGGGCTTTCTTATTTCAAATATACATTGGGTTATGTTACCTTGGTGGTCACTGTCGACCCGCAGCGGAGATATGACATCTACTCGTTCAATGATCATATGCCATATAAATATCGAGACCTGTCATATCTATGTACCAGGAAGAAATCCAGAGTACTCAGTATCAAGCACCTATAGACTTCTATAGTCTTTTAAACCAGACTACATTTTGTTTTATCATGAAATTTATTTAAACTGGATTAAATGGCTGTGATCATGGTGTATAATAACAAACGCTGGCGAGCAAAATACAGTACATGTTTAAAGGTGGCTAAAAATAAACAATAAACAAAGAAATGAGTCTTTGAAAGGCATTTAGAAGTGATACACATAAGGAAGAGAATTTATGGATGTCAACTTCTTTATTATGAGGAATACAACGTTTCGTAGTAAATGCTTAGTCCTTCATCAGGTGTCTCACCTGATGAAGGAGTAAGCATATACTCCGAAACGTTGTGTTTTTCAAAGAAATTGACACCCATAAATTGTCTTCCTTAACAAAGAAATGGCTATTCGATGGTGATGGATTTGATACGGGTATCGTTGATGATATTGGACGCAGGTGTGCAGTGTTCCGGCGTCTGTTTCCTTTCTTTACTGTCTCTTGTCCGGCAGTTTGCAACAGTGTAGGGAACATGGGGTATTGTTTGTCCTACTCAATCACCATTACACAGTATATTATAAGCAGACTCAAGCACCGTAAACAATACAAATACATTCGTTTTATTTTCACCCGTAAAAACAAATTAATGTTGATATAGTTATATTTATATTTTTGCAAATGCTGTCTGAGAAATTGTTAGTATTTGAATTCAAACACATTCTTTCGAATATCACGCCCATTTTGGCGCCAATGGTGAAATTAACATGAACTGGTTGAACGAGTCCTCGTGCTGTAATGCCATTTCTGGTACCACTATGCCATTCACATAAAGCGGTATACTGATACACTCTGGCGCCTGGATACAGAAGGACCAATGTACCCAAATCACACGTCATTCACGACACTCAGGGATGCGAGCGGTACATGCCTTGGACGAACCAGAATCACTTCACTGTGAGTTCGAATCCCAGATTTCCCCTGATTATGAAATATGACAGGAGGGATGACTTCAATTTTTCAATAGTCAACTTTCCCTTTATGTCGAGAATACTCCTGTACCTCCAGCTTTTGGTACTTACATTTCAAAACTTTACAGGTACAATCGAGCATGCTCTAACCTTCTATTACGTAAAAGGCCATTATGCTTGTCGTAAAAGGCGACTAACGGGATCGGGTGGTCAGGCTCGCTGACTTGGTTGATGCATGTCATCGATCCCAATTGCGTGGATCGATGCGCAGGATGTCAAGCACTGGATTGTCTGGTCCAGACTCGATTATTTACAGACCGCCGTCATATAGCTGGAATATTGCTGAGTGCGGCGTTAAACAACAAACCAACCAACCAACCTTCTATTAAAATTTCCAAGAACGTCATATGACTCTTGCTTAGAAGCTGTTTGATCAAGGTCACAACATTCAAGGCCACAGTAAAGCTTTCAAAAAGATCTATGGGAAACGTGTGGAGGTCATTTCCAAATTTGACGCATCAGCGACAAAAAACATGTTCCACGCAATTCCCTATTTTGACTTGCACCATATGTTTCCGTGATTTGTTATTTCGTGTGTTTGTGACGGGTGCCACCTGTGGGGCAGGATACGCTCACCTTTCCACGAACACCTGATATCATCACTATCTGATAGATATTCATTAACACATGCTCATAATATAGTTGGAATTGTACAATCGACTCTGTTTTGAGCTGATATTTCTTATGAATATGGAAATGGTTTGTTTTGTTTGTTTTTTTTGCAGTAGTACGTGCTCGTGAGTTACCAAAGAAGTAAACCTATATAAACTTAGACTTGTCTCCAGCATGCCGTGATAAGAGTAAGAATCATGTCCTGGTAAATCCGGCATTTAACTTAATTCACTCACACCTGGACATATAATTGTATATGTTCCGATTTGTTCAAGAGGGTGTGGTTGAGTGAATGTTGTTTTATTAAAGTGGGTGTGGTTGAGTGAATGTTGTTTTACGCTGCATCAATTGCATTTATTAGCAACGACGAATTTTTATCGTGTCTTGTAAGTTTAAAACTGTAAATTCGTATAACAAGTATAGAAACGTGATGTAGAGTATCTAATCAAATTTCTGCCATATATGACGATTACGAGATTAATATGGAGGTCCATATACTCATTTGGTCACATAGCACGTTATTGTCATCATGAGGCCTGACAAAGTTGGTATTTTCAAGAGTGACGTACCAAATGTCATCATGTCAGATTATTTGACAAGAAAAGCCAAAGTTAACTTCAAATTTTAGTCTGAAAATTTGTATTTAGGCAGAATTAAAGAACTATGGTATAAAATGATCAAGAAAATTATCGATGTTACCTTTTCAGATACATTTTGTATCGGATCATATAATACATGATATAAAACGACTATAAGAAACTAAAATATATATAGATGAAAAGGTTAGGGTGGGGGTTTTTTAATGTAAAAGTCACGCGGCGGGAAGCTGATATTCTGATACATTTCGAAACATATAAAACGTTTTTCGTGCTGACTAAGCGCTAATGCAGTTCATGTTTTGGATATAATATCGCGAACCTTTTAATTGAAAATCAACCCAGAGGTAAAGTTTGATTTGCCCCTCTGCTAATGTAAGTCAGCAATCCAATAAACTATATATGAATGTTTAATAAAACAACGAAATGTTGACAGGTTAATTTCTCTTTATGTTTTACTTATCGTATAATCAACTTTGACGATCACATACAGTTCTCTGTTACAAACAGTTCCCTTTCATCATTTGCACAACGGCTGGTCAAAAACTTCTAAGCCTGACTAGCTTTCAACTATGGGTCTAAACAAAGTGAACTATTCAATGTAGTACGTTGTTTGAGTAGTTCATTGCAAGTGTATTTGGTCTGTTGAGGCCTTTTGTATATAAGTGACAACCAGTTGAACGTGATAGGGGTCCAAATGGACGCGGAAATGGAAAAGATCGTGTTCCGAGCAGTCATCAAGTTTTGGTTTTTGAGAAAAGTACTTCCCAAGAAATTCATGATCGCATCCTCGAAGTGTATTGGGATAAGTGCCCAAGCTATTCCACTGTTAAACGTTGGGCAGCTATGTTTGAGGCAGGGAGAACAAGCCTTGATGATGACCATAGGTCTGGACGTCCCTCAAGTTCCATCAACGAAGATTCAATCAAGAAGATAGAAAACCTTATACTGTCAGATAGATGTATTACCATTGCTGAACTTGCGAAAGACACATGTCTAAGCCATTGATCCATTGAAACTATTATTCATGAACATTGTACATATGGATAAGATATCTGCTCGTTGGGTGCCAAAGTTTGTAAATTCTAATCTTAAGAAAAATGAACTGACATGCCAGAGTGATGGCACCTGGGTCTCCCACTATAAACCTGAGTCAAAACGTCAATCTATGGAATGGCGCCATTCCACGTCTCCGGCTCAACAGAATTGCAAGTCTTAAAGATAAGTGAAGAAAATTAGGGCAACTGTATTCTGGGATGCAAAGGGTGTGATACTTGTTGATGAAAAACGATTACCGGTGCCTACTATGCTGATTTGCTTCCTCGCCTGAGAGATTCAATCAACGAAAGGCGGCGAGGAATGCTGACTGCTGGAGTTCTACAATTTTATGACAATGCCTCTTCTCACATCTCTCGACTTGCAATGGCTGTTGTGCGACAACGTGAGTTCGAAGAGCATCCTCAACCTCCATACTCGCAAGACCTGGCACCAAGTGATTTTACAAGTGAGTTCCACCTGTTTCCTGAACTGAAAGACCACCTTTGTGGAAAGCGCTATGACGACAACACTGACCTCAAAGCTGCAGTGAATGGGTTTTCTGAGGTGGCTTCCGAAAACCCCTTCCTGATTGGAATTGAAAAGCTTCACTATCAATATGAGAAGTGTACTGAAAAGCAAGTAGATTATGTTGAAAAAAAAAATTAAAAACACTTTCACAATTGTTTTTTTGTTTGT